CCTCTGGCTGAACCACATACACACACAGGACAGTCCCCACCCTAAGTTGAGATGCCCCCCAGAGTGCTGGGCTCCTGGAAGGAATCGGAGATATGTATTTGGCTTTTAAAACCTTACTGTCCCTTGAGGGTGGGATTCTGTGTGGTTCACCCATGTCTCCAGTGCTGAGAACAACTCTGGCATCCAGCACATCTGGATTTGTAGAGCCCAAGTCAGAATCTTAGTCAGGAAGAATTGCTCATATTGACACAGCTCTACAGCCAACAGAGGAAAGTGAGGCGTTGATTGACAGCTCTACAGCCAATAGAAGAAAGTGGGCCATGGGAGTTCTCTCCCATCCACCGAGAGCAGCATGCCCTGTTCCCCACAAAACCAACTCTGGCTCAGTGTTGAAAGTCACATCACCCGACTGCAAAGAAGGCTATCTATAGTCATGGGAGGCAACTCGTGTGAGCTCTCCTTGGCTGGTTGAGGGCAGAGAGCTGGTGCAATGGTTGTCCTGAGACCTTTCTGGAGGCACACTGGACCTGTTGCTGGGACTTTCCAGTAAAGGGACACTTGAAGAGGCCCAGCCAGCGTCATGCTTGACCAGCTGCCTGCAGATGCTCACAGGGAAGCCCTGTGGAGGATCCTAGGTGCCTGTCTTGATTGGACCCATATATACCACATACTAACTGTAGAGTTCTCACACCAGAGACTCAGCCCTCAGAGCCTCCTTTTCCCCCATTCTCAGCTCACTCAGCAGCTACCTGTCCAGCATGGAGAAACTCTATGTTCCTTAGTGTGAGGTTTGCAGTACAAGGTGCACACCAGACCAGTGGGAGTCCATGTGTGAAGGACAGTGAGTGACTGAAGTCAAATGGCAGAGGCGCTGTTGACCTCTGAGTACCACAGGTATCAAGGCAGTGGCCAGGGACACAGGTTTTGGCTTGTGATGACTACATGGTCATTATCATACAGGGACCATCGTGGAGCCTGGGCATGGAGATGGTGTGAGATGTAGGGACAAGTTTATTACACATAAGTGTGAAGCCTGAACTCAGGCTATGAAACCCCAACACGACACGTCTGCCACAGAGGAGAGTAAGAGCAGCAGTTCTTGGCCTTGACCTGGCCCTGGCTGGCTGGAAGTCACTCAAGGCCACCTGGCTGCTGCAGCTGCCCACACCATCATCAACCCCGATTGGGCTGTGCTAGCACGATACAGCATCCAGGTTTTAGAATGGGCTATGCTGGCCACTCTGCCTGTCTTGATCAGACCACATTGAACAGCATTTCATAGCAGGCCCAGCATTTCACAAAGGATGCTGAGAAACTGGCACACATCCAGAGGAGGAGGGGCAGGAGGCATGTCCTGCCAAGCCTTGCTGGATTACTGGGTGTGTGGACACTGAGCTGAGGAGGCACAGAGACCTGAACAGATGGCTCCTAGCTTGGTTGCCTCACTGGGGCCTGGGGTGCCAGACAGGAGCCAACCGACCACATAGCCTTGTGACTGAGAGCAATTGGTATGCTGTTCTTTAAAATAAGCTTCTTCTTGATGTTTCTGTTTGTTTTGTTTTGTTTGCTCTCACCACCCTTTTTCAGCTGAGACATTTTTACATGGTTGTGGGTATGCAATTTTATAAAATAGGTATATAAATCAAACAGTTATGGATGGTAAATGACAACTTTATTTTAAAGCAATTCGTTACATATATCATCTTACCATTTATTAAAGAGGAAAGCAAATTTGGGTACAAAGGAGAGAAATGTGCTTCTAACTTAATCCAATCCCAAGGTATACGGACTTGATACCCACATGTTGTCCTAGTCTCATTTCTGCGGCCGTGACAAAACACACTGACAAAAATCAGCAAGGAAGGCTGAGGTGTATCTCAGTGGTAGAACTCTTTGTCCGACATTCCTGAGGCCCAGATTTCAGTTCCCACTATTATAAAAACAAAACACCACTCAAAGGGCAAAGGGTCTACTTCCGCTCACAATTCCAGGTTCCAGTTTCTCATAGCAGAAAAGCCAAGGCAGCAGGAACTTAAATCAGCTGGCCCCATCACATCCACAGTCAAGAGCAGAGAGGAAAGGATACATAATGCATGAATGCTTTTAGTGCTTGGCTGGCTCTCTCTCTCTCTCTCTCTCTCTCTCTCTCTCTCTCTCTCTCTCCTATCACTTCAGGACCCAAACCTAGGGAATGGCACCTCCCACAGTGGGCAGGAAAATATTAAGAGACGTTGTTTCCCATAATTAAACCATTATGTTTCCGTGAGAGCCCACAACTTTGTATGTATGCATGGTAAAAACTCAACATTTGGTATCCTGAAATCTGAAATAAAGTGTTTCAGGCAGCTCTGGGTAGTATGATGGCCTGTGTAGTGCAAAGTTGTGTGTGTGTGTGTGTGTGTGTGTGTGTGTGTGTGTGTGTGTTGTATGTTGAGGATCAAAGATGTGGTGATGTCTGTGATGCTGCACAGGTGACTGTTGACAACCACACCTTGGGTTTACTATGTTTTTGATTTTTGAACTAACCTTTGCCGACTTCTCCATGACCCACACATTCAGTCATGCAGCTCCAGATGGAGTGGGAACCCACAGTTTAAGAAGCCTTCCTCTATGTACTACCAGCACTAACATGACATTTGCATCTTATTAGGTGTGATTGCATCATGTTAGAAGTGAGTCAGAGATGGTCCGGAGTACACAGGAGGGGATGGGTGGGTTATAAGCAAACCCTGCATCCTTGCGTATGAGGGATATGCGCTCCCACAGATTTCGGCATTGGATAGGGGTCTGGGAACCAATCTCCCAAAGACATCAAGGATGACAGAATTTAATAATGGACAGCCTTTTTACTGAAACAGGAAGTGGCTTCCTACCAGAAGTCCTCCGGGCTAATCAGGCCCGTCTATGGTCATGTCTTGGTAAAAAGTCCCATTGGGGTTGTGTCTGGACTGGACAATGCTACTCTGTGCCCCCTTCACATTGGCTGGCCTGGTACCCACACCTGTTGTTAGAAGGTCTCCAGTGAAACAAAACACCCAGGCTGCCGAGTCTTCTGTGGTACCTCAGGATTCAGTTACTTGAGTTTTCCTTCTGTATGGTGCAGGCTGGGAGGGCCCATCCAGACTGGGCACCATTGGCCATATGACTGGGTGCAGCTGGAAGGAAGGGGAACTGGAGGAAGGTGACATTCCCTGAGACAAGCCACTGCATGAATGTGGAGCTATGGAGAAAGTGAGATGTGGTGTGTGTGTGTGTGTGTGTGTGTGTGTGTGTGTGTGTGTGTGTGTACTTGTCCTTGGCCCCATCAGTCCTGAAACTGTTGTCCCTGAACAGTTCCACTACAGAAAGCAATGTACTACGCCAGTCAAAGCTGGCTTTCTATCACTTAAGACAAGTCTGTCCAACTCTACCACTCACTTATTCCCTGCTTGGGCATGAGTGGAATGCCATCAGAAAACAGTGCAATTAGATATTTGTTTGTAGCTAGAAAGCACCCATCACTTGGTTCCATCGTGGTCAAGAGGATCACTACCCATGTATACACATGTGTTCAGTGGCCTGAGACACATCAATGGGGACCTCATGCATGGATGTCTGCCCTCTCTGGCTTCCTCCTCAGGCTCCATGCTGACTCCAGCTCCTTTTCAGAAACCCAGAAAGCACTGCCTCCCATCTTCAGCTCCTGACCATCCTCTGGGCCAGGCTGCATTGAGGCTATTTGGTGATTGAAGCCAACTGGCCTCTGTTTGTATTGAAGGTTGACTAACTGTGCATGAATCAAACGGCATAGAAATGGGGGTGTAGGGTTGAGGGGGGGGCGGGGACTTGAGAAATAAAATTTCCAGAAGAAAATTCTGAGCAGACTTCTGGAAATGAGGGGAGTAGATGCCAGGCAGAGAACAGATATCTGTGAATATATCATGTGAATAGGCATGTTGATGTCATGGTCTTTCTGCTGCACGTTGTTCCACATCTCCTCTTGTCTGTCTGGGCTGCCTCTGGAGCAGTGGTAGACACCAGGGCAGACAGCAGACCCAAGCCCCCGAAACCTTTCTCATTCCCTGGGAGGTTTGTCTTCATAACTTTTCCAGAAAGCCCTGGCTTTGTCAGCCTTCTTGACACCAGATAGGGACATCAGCCCCTCAGGCATGGAGGCCCATCCTCTTCCCTCCAAACTCAGCCACGTCCACTTTCCCTTCTAGGGAAAACCTTGACCAAGGTCAAGGATCTGATAGTGTGACACCCATTTGCCTGCCCCCTTCTAGGGGACCCGAAAGTGTCCTGGCACACCCAAATGTTGGAGCAGGTGGCTCTGTGGTGCTGGGGGTGACAGAAAATTGCTTCCACAGTAGCCTTAGCTTAGTATCTGCAGTTGGGATTAAAGAATGCCATCACAGTTTATAGGACAGGGCCCGCTTACAAATAATAGCGGGCTTCAGTAGATGCTGGGTACAAGAACATGGCTGTGGAAGACACAGGAAACACCCCTGTGGCTTATTTGGGGATGGAGTGGTGCTGATGGAGCCCTAGGTGCTACCTGTATGAAGGCCCATCCTGCTCCGTAGGGGTCACCCCACCCTGGAGCTGTGGGGTGGGCCTTGAAGCAGGCCTCTCCTTTTCTCTTGCTCCCTGGGGCTTCCACCTGGAAGACAGGTGCATAACAAAGGCAAAAGAAGAGAGAGGGACCGGATTTCATCCTGTTCCTTAGCTCCTCAACCTACCCCCAGGGGTTTTCCTAAACAAGGACCCCATGGTTTGTATGGTGCCCCCACTGGCTCGCCTAGAGTTGCGCTGGCCCAGCCCCTGTGGAGGTCCCTGTACCAGGGTTGCCATGCCCAGGTGGTAGGACCCAGCTAGAGGCCTAGCAGATGGCTCCCAGTCTAGGGCATCCTCCAGCCTCTCTGCAACAGGAGCAAAACAAGAGCACGCGCACCTGTCGGCGCCCCGCCCCTTTCGCGCCGACCAATCGTGGGTCTGGGCGGGGCCGGGGCGCAGTCGGAACCCGAGCAGAGCACGGTCGTGGAGCTGGAGCAAGCGCAGCCTCGTTCCTGTAACCTCGTCCCCGCCGCCCGAAGCCTCCTCCCCGCCGCCGCCGCCGCCGCCGCTGCTGCCGCCGCCCCCGGGGCATGGCCTGTCTGATGGCCGCTTTCTCGGTCGGCACCGCCATGGTGAGTCGCACATCCTTTGCGCTCAGGGCTGGGTTTTCATCTACTAGGGAAACACAAAGCCCCGCACACTGGTGCTCACACCAGCCGCCTAGGAGCGCGTCCTCTGGGCGCTGACCCGGGGCGCCCTGAAGAGGTGCCCTGCTCCGCTCGCCTCCACCCCGGCCACCTGGAGTCTCAGGATGCTTCTGCACTGGTTTAGGGCGCCAGGAAGGTGGAGGGACCCGGAGTGGGGCGCGGGGCAGCTAGCAGCCTCACAAGTGGACAGATGGCCTTGACTCGTCCGCCTCTGAGTGAGGGGTTCGGGACGTGAGAGCGCACTGGGAAGGGACTACAGGCCCAGCCCGAGGGCAGGGAGGGTCGGATCTCCCTGGGGAGTTCTGCGGGGCAGGCGGGTGGCGGGGACTTCTTGCGCCACCCTCCGGAGTGCTGGGCATAGTGGGGGACAAAAAGAGGAGCTGTGCCCCACGAAACAGAGCCTGTTTCTCCTGCGCTCCCCAGGGACAGCTACTCTGGGGTGGGGTGGGGGGAGGTGGCAGAGTCCCAGAGGAGACAGATCCCTGCAGGGGTGAGGACAGGGTGTGGGCATTTAACTCCCCCACCCCCACCCCAGGTACCAGTTCTAGGGCAGAAACCGAGTGCTACTGAATTAATTGCTAGACAAGTGCTGTTCCCAGAGGTGGGCAAGCATCTCCTCTTACGCGGTGCCTCAATGCACCTGGAAAAAAGCGAACCTACAATAAGACCACACAGCCCACCGCCCGTCTGGTCTCACACTTGGCCCTACCGGCTCCGCCTAACACGGGGACATTGCGGATAATATCCTCTTAAGCTGATTTCAGACTGTGTGGAGTACAAACAGCAAGCCCCCCCCCCGTATTCCCACCCGAGTCGTCCCTGTCTCTGCCCACATTGCTCAGTCCCTCCCCTTTATTTCATTTTTAGCATCCTGTGTTTGAAGTCAGCAAGGCTCAGTAGGATTTGACCGACAGTTACCTCTTGCCTTGAGCCCTAGAGGGAAAAAAAAAAAAGCATCAGGCTTTGTGCGCATGCTCTGCTCTGACAACTGCATCCTGTGATTCCAAACAGGTTACTGTAGAACTCGAGCCCAGCCCGCCGACTCATTATGTAATGATTTTGTGTAAACCGACAGAGTGGAGCGAAGATGCACAGGAGTGGTGGTTAGCAGGGGGAGGGGGTGAGGTGGGCGGGAAGGACCACCCCCCCAAAGTGGATTCCCATCCTTGGGGTGTGCTCTGGTTCTGACACGTCAGAGTCAATGAAAACAGGAATCGCTTCTCCTCAAGATATATATATTCGCTTTTATCTAGTTGATTGCTTGGGTGACACTGAAAAATTGTCCCTTGCACACTTATCTATCAATGTGAGGATTATGCTGGCAACGGAAAATTAAGATAATTGATGATGATTGCAAATAGAGGAAGTTTGGTGGATTCTCTCTGCACGGGACATACCATCATTTAGAACTGGCTTGGGCATGTGGGTAAATGAGCCAGAATGCTGTAGGATACAGGTCTTTATGCTGATTTATAACATTATGGCTTGATACAGCCCGGACCTCTGCTGTGAGGTTACAGATATCATAATGGCTGGGCTTGATCTCCCCCACCCCCAAGGAAATCTATTGATATATTTATGAAGAGAATTTTCTTCCTGGAAATCTGGCACTTTGTGTTAATTTAAAAATGTCTATCTGCCTGTGGTCATACCACTCTGGGTCCACCGATCTTGTCTGTCAAGCAAGGCCAGCCTGGCTGGGACCTGGCTCAGAGTAGGAGGCGGCAACGGCTAGGAACACCAGGTGCTGTAGGCACAAAACGAAGACCAGATTCATTATTTTTAATGTTCTATCTTAGCTCTAACGAGACCTCAAGATTTGCTTTTTAGTCTCCCCTGCCCTGGGATCCTGCCGGTGCTGGCTGAGTGAGCTACAAGTCTGGAGGAAACCCTGGAGGGTGGCCAGAGCTCCGGCAGTACTAGGGTCCCTGAGATTGCAGGGACACACAAGGTGGGCATGTGTCCCCAAGAGCTTTGTGGCATTGTGAGTGGTCACTCAAGTATAACCTGCCCTTTAAGTTTAGCTCAGGGTGTGACATGTGGACACTTTTCCTGTGGGGGACTTGCTGTGATTATGGGTTAGCATGTTCTCTTCTGATGGGCTCAGGATGTCCTGAGGTGAGCATCCTCGTTGGGCAGGGAGGAAGCACAAAGAGAAGAGAGAGCGATCCTCACTCCAGTGTGCCCAGAGTAGTTCCTGTCGCCGAATGCCTCCTAGTGAAGGGGTCTCCCAGTGGGTAAGGCTTGCTGGCTGTGTATGACCTTACCCACACTACTCCGGTGTCTCCAGATGTCCAGCATCTGTGCAGCCCTCCCTCAGCACTCTACCCCAGTGCCAGGGAAGCATCCTCTTGAACAGCCCCCAGCAACGGTCCCAACAAGGACCCCCTCCGCACAAAGTCCCCAGAAATGGACTTCCTGCCTTCACCATCTGTCCTCTCAGCAAAACACATTCCATGAGGAGAGGGCACAGTGTCCAGACAGGAAGGTAGGGAAACGGCCCAGCCAGTGGAGACAGCAGGAGGGCATAGGTATTTGTTTTATTTTTAATGAGCTCAGGAGGCTGAGGCAGAGCTTGCTGTAACCTACATTGCTAGCTAGCAGCTCTCATCGGAGGATGTGTTTCCAGAGAGCTGGTCTATTTTGGAGTGACAGGCCACTGTCTCATCACATAGGTTTTCATGATTTTATTAATTGGGTGAGGCCACTGGACACCAGTGGAGGAAGGGTGGGGCCCCCGCTGTCCTTGCTGAGGGGGGGACGGGGCAGGGAGGCTGCATGAGTTCCTGTTTGCTGTGCGTTTTACTCTACAAGACAGTTCACTCGGCACCTAGGCTGTCTGCAGTGAGCGGAGCTCAAATGGCTGGGCGTGAGAAGGCCAGCTCAGACTCAGACGTCTCCGGGAGCTGGACCCCTCCTGACTGAGGGGTCCTGAGCCAGATGGGGAACCTTGATGCTTTCTTGCCTCCCCCCCACACCCCTACACCCCCGTACTGTGCAAAGGCTAAGAGCACAGGCTGCAGGCTGGAGGGGACTAAAGCATGCTGAATCTTAGTCACTGTTGTTGACAGTCGCTTGCCTAGCAAGCACACGCGCGCACGTGGTCTTATTCTCGAGCACTTCACATCCTAAGTAGCTGATTCTGGCTGCTTCTTCCTCCCTCGCTACTCAGTTTAGTCACCCAGCTTGGTCGGTCTGCTGGCTGGTGCAGTGGGCTACAGCCCCGTTACCACCTGCCGGTTAAGCTCTCCCATCCCTAGCTCTGCAGGTGATTGCTACAGTCTTCTGAGCCTGGAGCTCCAGGTTCGGGGGTCCCTCTCTGGGTCCCTGTTGATCTCCATATCTCTTTCTAAAGTTTGCCTTTCTCATCTCATCTATGCCAAGTACCTTGCTTCCTGCCTCCTCTCCCACCCAAAACCCTAACCCAGATTCTGGTTGATTCTGCTACAGGTCTAGGTCTCCATATTCCACACTCACTGTTCACAGAGGCCCCCTGCAGAGAGCATGGCATACAAAGCCCCGCCTCCATCTCATCTTGCTAATCTCAGCCTGGACTGTTTCTGCAGACAGAGACGTTGTTCTAGGCCCCCACCTCAGGGTCTGGTCTGCATCTAATACGCCTCCATGGCCTTTCCTTAATCCTGTTGTGATGGTTGTTTTCTTCCCTGGGCTCAGTCTTGAACTTGAGCTTGCTAGGGCCAGAGTCCATGTCTGTGTCTGGCTTGCTGATTGCCTTTATCTGGTGTTCAGTCTGTCAAGGGAATGGACGTGTGCATAGATAGGTTTGGAGTCCGGGGAGAAGGCCTGATGCCTGTCTGATATCTGCCACAGCCTGCGAGTGTGATGATGGCGGGGAGGGCCCTTGTTCCTTTGGGTTTCAACGGAGTAGGAATCGATCCCTTCTTGGCTTCCCTGGGGTTGGACACCTATGGTGGGGACCTGCGGAGAGGAAGAAGGAACAGCAGCTGGAACCTGAGGGGTAGAGCTCAGGGGGCTATGATGGAGAAAGGCTTGACTCCCTTAGGGTTGGAGCCAAGCTGGCAGTACCTCCCCTTCAAGGCAAGGTGGAGGGAGTGACTTGGCCTCAGCTGACTGTCTTGGGGCTGCCCCTAAAACCAGCACCTGGTGCTTCCCAGGCTCCTCCATAACCCTTGTGGTTATGAACCTGCCATGGCAGCCACAAAGGGTCTCAGGAAGGTCCCTGTGCCTGTTGGATAAGTTCTGAGTTGCATGGGTGTATTCCTGTGGGACCAATGAGCTATGACAGAGTGACCTACTCCTGCAAGAGGCCTTTCAGGGAAGGCACCTGATGAGTGTACACAGAAGGCTGGGGGTAGGGTTCTCCATTAGGCTCTGTGGGTCTCAGCACAGGCGTAGTTCTGGGCACATATGAACCCACTTACGTTGGTACTGGAAAGAGCATCCATGCTTCATGGCTGCTGCCCTAAGCTGGATTTCAAGAATTCCCTCTGCACCTTTATTTCCATTCACCCAGTAGGAGTGTCAGTGAGACTTAGGAGATGCTCACGAAGGTGGGTGTGTATTTGCAGTTCACACATCTTTTTCGTAAGTGCAAGCTCCTTTTCCCATCACCAAGAGATTCTGAATATCTGAATCTGCCTCTTTCATGCCCCATTTGGTTTTTTGGGGTTTTGTTTTGGTTTTTCGAGACAGGGTTTCTTTGTGTAGCTTTGCGCCTTTCCTGGATCTCGCTCTGTGGACCAGGCTGACCTCAAACTCACAAAGATCCGCCTGCCTCTGCCTCCTGAGTGCTGGGATTAAAGGCATGCGCCACCACCACCCAGCATCATGCCCCATTTGTTTTAAGTATCCAAAGCCCACCCCCAAGCTTACCATTAGGCTCTGAACCCCCAAATGCCACAATGATAGTAAACCCAGCTCTTCTATGATTCAGTTGCACGTTCTCAGTGGGTGGGTGGATGGGAGGCTTGACTTTAAAGATTTTGTTGTTGGGTTGCTTGTTTTTCCTTGAGGTAGGGTCTTGTGTAGCCAGACTGGCCTCGAACTCACCATGCAGCCGAGGATGAATTTGAACTTCTGATCCTCCTTCCTCTACTTCCCCAAAGCTAGAGTTAGAGGGTGCTCGGAAGAAACCCAGGGATTTGTGCATGCTAGGCAAGTATATTCAACCTACCAAGTCACCTCCTCAGCCCTGTATGAGACTTTCTGCAGATAATCCACTACAGTTTTATTTTATTTTTTAAAGAAATAATAATAAATAACAAGCACTATTTGAGAAATAGTTAATAAACCAACAGAAGAAGAATGGCATGCGTGTCCTCTCTAGATCAGAAGACTACAGCCTCTAGGCTGGGCAGTAGCCTTGGTGACCCTAAGTGGTGAGGGGTGGGCTCTCCCTATAGGCTATCAGCAACCAGCTGAGCCTGCAGAAGACCCACACTTTTGGACGTTACCCCCAGCTTCAGAGACAGCTAGAAACACTTTAGTACAGCTTGTCCCCTTAGGGCTCTGCTCTGTTTGGAGGCTCCTAAAGCTTATTGATCAGGCCACGGTTGCCAAGCCATTAGAAAAGCAAACCCCTTGCTTTGCATAAATACTCCTGGGCCTTGGCCCACCCACTACGTGCATTTCATTCCTTGTGAACGGCTTTAAAGCTAAAGCTATGGGCTCTGCGTGTAATACAGTGCTGCAGCACTTGTCCATAGCCGGCTGCCCTATGCTGGCGATGGGGTGCCTATGTAATACAGGAAGCTCCTCACTGTGTTTTAAGTCGTCTGTGCCTCAGTTTCTTTGCCTGTATAACAGAGGAAATGTACAAACTACTCCAGCCCTCCAATATTACTGGAAAGATACAATGGGAGTGAATTACAGAAATCTAGAAAATGTGACGCTAAAGTATGGCCAGCCCCCACAAAGCCAGCCCTTTAATAATGCTGTCCTAGACGCGTCAGAGATGACACAGGAGCACGTGACTACAGCTCACTTTAAATACGCCGTTTTCAGTTGTTCCCTCATGTCCCTTCACTGAAGTTTTTATGAGTAGACTGGAAAGAGGTGGCTTTCCATGGTGGCTCATCCCTTCTTTATAGAGGAAAGTGAGTCACTTATTAAAGTTTTATGATCAGATTTTTGTGATTCTGAAAGAAGACTGTCAATGTGTTTAGCATCTTATCTCTGGTGTCTTTTTACTAGAAGCAAAAGTGATGACTAGCTGGGACAGTTCCCGCAGGTGGCCTCTCTCCCCTCTGGGGACAAAGGTATTCTCAAAGTATAAAAAGTATCTCTATGGATAATCGATGACCCCGAGCCCAGGGGCAAGTCTCTTGATGGACCTTCTCTCCACGGAGCACACAACACATCACATCTCACTGCCTCCGCTTTGCCTTGCAGAATGCCAGCAGCTACTCTGCAGCGATGACGGAGCCCAAGTCTGTGTGCGTGTCGGTGGACGAGGTCGTGTCCAGCAACGTGGATGACGTTGAGACGGACCTGCTCAACGGGCACCTGAAGAAGGTGGACAACAACTTCACAGAGGCCCAGCGCTTTTCCTCCTTGCCCCGGAGGGCAGCTGTGAACATTGAATTCAAGGACCTTTCCTACTCCGTTCCCGAGGGACCCTGGTGGAGGAAGAAAGGTAAGAGGGAGGCCACTGACTTGGTAGTTGTGCTTGGGGGAGCCTGTGAAGGAAGCCACAGGTCGTCTGGGGAGAGGCTCGGTCTTCAGTTGGAAGTTGAGATATGTTCTCTTCCAAGGCAGCCTTGCCTTGGCTAATTTTCTCTCGCCGATCCACAGCTGACTTCCCTTCTGTGAAACACACAGGTTGGATTAGACAGTCTCAAAGTGGCTCTAAGCTTGGGTGATATTGGTACAGATTAAGTGTCCCTTGTGGGAAATGCTTGGGACCAGAAATGTTTATGGCTGCATATATATATTTTTTTGGATTTAAAGAATATGTACCTATCCATAATGAGGTACTTTGGGGACAGGACCCAAATGTAACCATGACATTCATCTGTTTCTTGGACAGCTTATGATATACACACCAGAAGTTAATTTTATTGTTACACATCTTTGATTGTGACTTGTCACATTTGGTCACATGGAAATTTCCACTGGTAGTGCTCAGAAAAATGAGTTTAAGTATCTTGATTTCCAGTATTGGGGCCTGGATCAAGACTTGCACAGCGCTCACCCAGCATCGGGGTGTGCCTGTTGCTAGTGTGTGCTTGTGTTCTGAGAGTCCTCCCTAGAGGACACTCAGCTTATGCCCGTCTTTCAAGGTGGAATAGTTCTCCACCATTTCAGAGAAAGTGTATGTTGCCTCCCAAGTCTCAGTTGTTCAAGAACATTCCAGGGTCTGGCACAGCCTTTCAGGGAACAAACTGTTTGTGAGATCTTTGGAGGGTTCTTCAATGTGTGGTGGTGCTGCTGGTGGCCTATAAAAACAAACAAACAAACAAACAAACAAAAACCAGCCCTTCATAAAATGAGCCGTGGCCACAGGAGGCCCCTGGAGTACCATATGATGAGGAACCCTGTCACATACTGAAGGGGCTTGGGACTGACAGTCTCGGTTGCCTGGCGACCTTCTCTAGGCTTGCTGAGGTTTGAGTGCACACGCTTTTCTGGCTGGTTCTTGGTTCCAGTCTAGTCTGCTGTTTGTAGAAGTGGGGTAGCTGTGGAACAGACCAGGCAGTCCCTGACGTCTACTGAATCACCTTGTGCAAGTTGGAAGCCAGAAAGGCACGTGGGGCATCCAAAGAGAATCAGGTGCCACTGGATTTTTAAGTCGGGGTGGGCTCTTAAATATTGGCGCAGCCTTTCTTTTTAAGAGGACTAAGTTAGAGCCTTTTTGGTTTTCATCTTCTCTTTTCTTCTCTTTGTTTTCTTTTCTTTTTTTTTTTTTTTTCTGCCTCTTGAAGCTAAGCCTGTGAGATCATTTGCAGGGCCAATCTGGTCCTGGCGGTAAACAAAATTTTGGAAACTTGAGAAGCCAGTCCCCAGGACCTCTGAGCCTGGTGGTTGTGAACGATTATGTCTGGGTTTTCACAACCAGGAACAGGCCCTATCCCCTCTCAAGGGCTGATTGTAGGGCACTGTTACCTGATACTCACATTCCCAGATGGCAGCCTGTTTTGTTAAGAAGGAAAGTGCACCAGGCTCAGCCGCAGGCCCGTTCTGTGGAGCCTGCTAGAACGGCAAGGTAGGCATGTACAGATTTTACAGAAAAATGTACCGTTGGGCCTCCCTGGTTGATGTGGGTAAGCCGCGGCAGACCTGTGAGGCACACAGCGATCTCTGCACGTGCGTGGTGTGTGGCCTTGGAGGTGTTGTTGTGGGGGGGTTTGAAAACCCATGCTGTAGGTGAAGGTGGTGTGCCATGTGGGGGTTCAGATGTTGGAAGCCTCGTGTGTTCGCTTCTTTTCTCATTTGCTGCAACAAAATACCTGACAGGAAGAACTTAAGGAAGAAGGGGTCTGTTTGGGCTCCCAGGTCCAGGGTCCAGCTCATCATGGCCGGGAAGGGGCAGCAGCCAGAGCGTGAGGCAGCCGGGCAGCCGCAGCCACAGTCAGGAAGCAGAGAGAGGGATGCGGGTGCGCAGCTCTCTCTCCTTTTTATGAAGTCCGGGACCCCAGCCCGTGGAACAGTGCTGACCACGTTTAGGGTGGGTCTCCCCACTTCCATGAACATCATCTGGGTAATCACTCACGGAAATGCCCGGATACTTGTTTCCATGGCCGTTCTAAACCCTGTCAAGCTGGCATCCGAGGAACCATCAGAGCATCTTGAGTTGAAACCCAGAACACCAGTCTTGGCCCAGGAGGGGCGGCCCTCCAGGTGCTGTGCCCACCTCACATCCTCTGAGAGTAAACAGGCCCCATTCACCATCAGAGTCAGCCAACAAGTGTCCCTTCTCAGTGCCTTGGTGGACGGCCATTCAGCCAGGTGGCCACTTGCCCTGTAGTAACCTCTGTGGGTTCAGGCTTGGGAGGAGTCGAACAGGAACCCTGGCGGGACTTACCTGTGAGTCAGAGGGGATGACAGGCGTGCTCAGTCTGGTGTGTCCCTGTTGTGGGGATTCTCACCGGGCGAGGCGTGGCTGGCTGACCTTTCCCCCAGTTCTTTTCCTCCTCTGCAGTGGCATCTCTGAGGTGCCCACCCTCCCCACCCTGTGCCTTGTCCTTCCCTAGTCGCTAGACCTACAACTCGGAGTCTATACGCTTGACCGTGTCAGCATGAAGTTAAGAAGAAGTTGATGAGAAGGGCCCGCCTTCTTCTCACTGAAATCAGGGGTAACTAAGGCCAAGAGTGGTCAAGGGGCTTGGCCATACTCCTGACCTAGAGAGAGGAGGTCCTGAGACCACGGTGGTGATGGCCAACTCTGTGAAGCCCAGCATGGCGGCCGGACCTTGCCTAGTTCTGAGCCATAAGGGTCATCCTCCTGCAGTTAGCAGGGAAATGGGGCTCTTTCTGGAGGCTCGGGTGCCCTGGGAAAGAGTCCACTGGGCTGCAGGAAGGAAGTCCAGTCATCTGTCGCCATCAGCTGCTCACGGCATGAGCTGCCCACACCCCTGTAACTTCTCTCTCGGCACCGGTCAGGGCTACACCCTGGTAACTCTGAACCTGGGGCTTCAGTTTCCCCAACTCGGAACCGCCACAGTAGCAGGAATCCATAAAGTGGACATTTTACCCAGGGCCAGGCATCCGGCTGGCTGACATGCTCCACATACCTCTGGACTCCCTCCCCTTCCCCCCGCATCTCCTCCCCTCCCGCCTCCACACCTCTGCTCCTGAATGCCCACAAATTCTGCTTCCCTTGTCCCCCCCATGAGGGCCCTTTGCTGTTTTGCCCCTCTGACGGCTGGGGACCCTCACAGGTTCCAGCAGTAACTGGAGCTGTGTGTGGGGTCACATCCTGGCTACTCTTTCCCATTTCTCCTCCTCCAGCATCGTGATTTGGGATCTGTAATCTGCTCTGTGTGGCTCCAAGGTGACCTTCAGAGTAGAAGCCACCCCTCCTGATTAGTCTTGCTGTCTGTATACCAAGCTGATTGGTTGTTGGCTTTTAGAATTCACCCTGATGTGCTGGGGCTGATGGTGTAACTCTGGGGCTGGCTGCCACAGCCCTGCTGGAGGCACAACTTCCCGTAAGAACCAGGAGCTCTGAGAGCCCTGAGCCTGTCAGATTTGTAGATCGGTAAAGGCGACAGGAGTCCAGGAGCAGAGTTGTCCAAAGTCAAAGCCAGAGAGCAGACCCAGCTCTTCCCTTCTGTTACCCAGATAGATGCTGGAGCCCTCTGTAGACCCCCCACAAAAACCACTTCCTTCCACGAGTTCTCCCAGAATGTGGTGCTACCACACTGGGCCTTCTGAAAGACAATAGCACTATAAATACATCGTCCTCTTAAAGAAAGCAGGCGGAGTGAGAGGATGTAAAATTCGTTCTGCTGGGAGGAGAGAGATTTGGGAAGGGATGTATCCGTAGCTTTGGGGGGGGAGGTCATTCTAACTCTCTAACATCTGGGAGCTTGACAGACTGCTAAGCACTGGCAGGGGCACTTAACCAAACATGTATTTTCAATTGCACGTAGGTTTTCACCTTATGATTAATGATGTCTTTGGAGGAAAAACTAGATCATGTAATAGATTCCTGGTAGGGAACATAATTGTGAAAGGAGCTAGTCTCGGGAGGACGCAGCGCACCCCGAGGAGCATCTCACCGGCTTCTGATCTGGTAATTACTCTCCCTCAAGGAACCCACTCACGTAGTGTGGGCTGATGGGACAAATGACTCGGAACAATCTCGCCTTGGGTGCCGCCGCACGGGCTGTTGTGGCCGGGGCCTGATGCGAGCAGTCTACCCCGCTCAGGCCAGAGTGACTCCGGAAGGCCACCCAGGCCGAGGGTCCGCCCGAGAGAGAATACACATGGTGAAACACAGACAGTGAGAGCGACGGAGGTTCACGGCTCCCACACAGCGGTCTCCTTTTCATTAGGGCGTGATCGGCTAATGTTGCAGATAGAACGGCGGCGGGAGTGTCCTGGGGACCTGTCCCTTCTGCCACCCAAGGACGTCACAGCTGGCTGCATGCGGGGACTTCCTCAGCTTGCGTGGCTCCTGAGGCTGTTTCAGGAGGGGTTCTGACCCCTCTACCCATCTCAAGGTCATGACTGTAGGAAAAGACCAACCTGACACCATATCTGTGGGATTTCAAACTAAGATTGGTGACCCACAAGGAACCTCATGGGTGTTGCCCCTCAGGGGGGATTCACCCTGGATTACTACCGTACAGATGGAGTTATTAGTGGCTGCCTTGGTTCCTGTCTCATGGTCCTGTTTGGATGCACCATTGATAAAGCTATCTGGAGGGCTTTGCAATTAATTCCATCCTCCTCTGGAGAGATGTGCCTGTTCTGTGTCCTTGCCAGTGAAGGGAGCTGATGGCAGAGAACATGCTCTCCCCAGCAAATGACATGGCTCTTCGGAATTGAATTCACCTGCAGAGATCACCTGGTGAAGTTTAGGTTGGGAACAAACGCAATCACACCTGGGGCTTTGGCACATTTTCTTTACTGTTCTTCAGCCTGGCCTGGCCAGGCCATGTCTCCACATGCCACACTCTGTGGACAGAG